ACAGTGTTTCTCAACCTTGGCAACTTGAAGATGTCTGGACTTCAAGTTGCCAAGGTTGAGAAACACTGTTTTAGAGGAAGTGTAGAATGTAAGGGTAAGAAATGGCTACCTCAAGTAGAATCACTGGCTTATTTATTTCCATACTTTAGTTGAGCAATATTGGACATTTATCATTAAATCCAAATTCTGTTACAAGAGGAAGAATAAAAATTCTTTGAGGATAGAAATAATTGTGATAAGCTTCAGTTTATTGAAAAGTAATCCCATACTTGCCTTTCTTTAAACTAAGTATTGAAAAACACAATAATTTATAAAATTTGTACTTCCCTAACGCTATAATATCAAAAATTAATTCCAGCCTATTTCTCCTTTAATTCTTTTTATATAAATAACAGAATTATCCACTGTGCAGATAAGTTTTAGATATTGAGGCACTAGATCAGGGTGTCGGCATCCGGCCTGTGGGCCGGGAGTTTGACAACCCTGCACTAGATGGTAGCAGTGCCTGGAGTTTCACATACAAGAACTTAATATGTAATGTTGAATGGGAACATAAATACATTTAACTAAATAAAATGGAAGTGTAGCTTACATACTGATATTTTTACATCTAAAAATATTACTGTAGATCTAGCACTGATGTTTTTTTATGGTGAAAATAAGACAAAGACTTTTAGGGTGCATAGAAAAAGAAAAAGTTGTTTTGGAATTATTAAAGACAGGTTCCTGGCCTTATCTATAGCATATTAATCATACAAGAAGCAATCTCATTTTGAAATAATATATTTTAATAGTGTCTATCAATAATTGTAATAACTTGATTGCCAAAAATATGCCAGTTTTTTTTGTTAAAATATTAAAAATATTCAAATATAATAGAAATTTAATATTAAAAAAGCAACTGATCTTGTGACTAATTTGTGCATTTTACTAAGCAAATTTAATAATTGCTTATTGTAGCCACAATTGACTATTAAGTTTGTACAATGCATTTTTCCAAATCAGACAAAAACCAGGTTTGAGAGTCAAGCCAATATTAATATATTAATTGCCCTTAATATCTAAATTATGGTACAGTATATATGTATAAAACTACAATGCTACATTTAGATAACAGCAAATAAACAGAAAAATTATTATAGCAAAATTGAAAATGCAGCCTTAACCAAGCTTTTGTTAAAAGGATATTGCTAGTTTTAGGTGAATCTCCTTAGGCTACCAAATAGCTATGACAAAACAGACTGCCTTACATTTTCGATGTAGGCATCTAAAGTCAGTTGCAGATGACTTAAGAGGACAGTCTGTGTTAGAAAAGAAGGTGCTTCCATTGGGAACATTGTGAGCTACCATGCTCTCTGGCAATTGAGAGCAATAGCATTTTGAAATTAACTGTAACTGAAAAGGACAGTAAAAATGCTAATGACAACAGCACTACTTTATATAAACTGAACCATCTTTGTCAGATATTGCATTGCTGTAATCCATGCTCTGATGGTCATTCAGTTTACATTTACTAAGCCAAATATTATTTTCTTCCCAGGAAGATACTTCGTTTTCTGTCACAGATTGCCCAAGTAACAGGGCAACTTCTTCTCCATAGCGGAACGTACATACTACAAATAACGGATGATTGTGAAGATTGTCTGCTTACGGAGGCCAAACATTAAAGCAAACATAAGAGCCCTTTTAACTGCTTGTCTATCCAGCTAACATTGTAAATTGGGTTTTGGGAAGGAGAGAGTTGAGTTACATCTTAATTTATTAAATATCATAAATTTAGCTGGGTACATAAATATACTTTAATGTGTAAGCTTTTATTTAAGATAATGATGTCATAATTGTAAATATGATCGGAATCTTTTTAATGTACTAAATTATTTAAGTCAAAGAACTCTTCTGCCATCCATTTCCAGTAGAAAGTTCACACAGCAAAACATGACACATACTAAGAACTTTCTTTTATTACCATGTGAACAGTTGTATTAAACCTCAGAGAATTTCAACATTAATCTCATGTCTATTTAAAACCTCCTCATTGCTAATCTATAAATAAATGTCACACCTCAGAATTAAAAGTGTTGTCTTATTTTTTAAGAATCTCTTAATTTTTAATCTTAGATGTTCAAACTCTGGTTACAGTTGTTAAAGAAAGCTGATTTTGTCAACAAAAAAGTGGATTTCACTTAATGGTTAAAGCCAAGATGCTGGGTCTAACATTTGTGCTAAGTCATAGGGCCATCTTTCCTCCTTATGTAGTGTCCCAAGCTGCTTATCAGCATCAGGGCAAGCCTTGGCCTCAAAACTGCTAGACTAGCAATGGACTGATAATATTTAACTTGACAGAAAATATCAAATGTTTTCTCTTTCTCCCCCTTGCTGAGTTACATGATAAAGCACAGAATGAGAACATTCCATTTTCCTCCTATTGTTCGTTATTTAAACAAAAGTACAATTACTACCCTGGTTCAAGATCATGGGAAGCTCCAAAATATCTATGGAAAATAATTATTTCAATTGACAGGAAGTTAGCTGAATGAATGTAAGATACCTAGCTAGATATTTTCCAGGAAGCAAGGTTTTTTTTTAATGAAAAACTGAAGAAACCTGAATCAAGAGCTTTGGGTGTAATGATCCTATGAGAAAAAGCTAGTGCTTTCTAGTGAGCACACCAGATCAATATGACTGTTCTCAAACCTGCTTATCCAGAGTTACTCCAGATTTGCAAGAATGGGGGTTGAATTGCAATATCAGTGACATCCAGAAATTTAAAAAGCACCCAATAGTTTGTCACTTTGTACTGATAATACAACAAAAGGAAGAAGGTTCTTTAGTCCTGCAAAGAAAAGTAAAAGCTTTGTGGCTGCTACAAAATGTGGATTGGATGTTCATATTGACTAAACTAGATTTGCTCAAGTGGGGTTATATGAGAGGTCATGACTAGGGGAAAAATGTTTGAACATCATATACTGTGCATTGCTAGCTATGGATATAATACATTTTATGCAGGGTTTCCTCAAACCTGAAAATTATTTCAAGTGTTTCTTCATAGTAAAAAAAAATTTTTTTAAATAGAACCTCAGTAAACCTTCCCCTTACACTCAAACTGTCATTTTAGATGAAGTGAAATTGATTTTTAAAAATTGTTCAATTGAGTTATGTTGGGATTTAAGTCACAGCAAGATGAAGAACTGGACCATTATTAAACTTGATTCATTTAAGCTAACCCATAATTTGCCCAAGCTGCTCAACACATCAGTTGCTAACAGTGATTTACAAACCAGAGAGACTGGGTTCACACATTGCCTGAAACCCCAAATAAGCAAACTACACCAATAGGACTTACATGAGATACAATGTAAACCACTGAAGCCTTGTTTGATTTAGGCTTAATTATGTTGTTTGGAACTAGTCATCTATGTTGTGAAGCAAAGCACTTAGTTCTTACTTATATACTGCTTCACAGTCCTTTCTAAGTGGTTTACAGAGTCATCCTATTGCCCTCATCAATCTGGGTCCTCATTTTATTGACCTTGGAAGGATGGAGGGTTGAGTCAGCCTTGAGCCNAGAGAGAGATGAGTGAGGGGATTAGAGAGGCAAAAGTGATGAGAGAGAGACAGAAAGAGAGAGATAGGGAGAAAGAAAGAGAAAGTGATGAGAGAAAGAGAGGGGGGAGAGAAGGGTGGGAGAGATGAGTGAGAGGGAATTAGAGAAGCAAAAGTGATGGGAGAGAGAGAGAAAGAGAGAGGGAGAAAGAGATGAGAGAGAAACAGAAAGAAAGAAAAGAGAGAGAGAGGATTCACACGGCCACAGGCGCGTCCGGAGCAAAGGCTGATCAGGGGCAGCGCCAGTTGCTACCGCTGCTCCCTTCCTCTCCCCCCCCCCCAACTTCTGTGAAGTTGCCGAGTGAGCAAAGCTGGGCGGCTGAATCACGGCCCGGGAGCCAATGAAAACGTTCATTGGAGGTCGCCGCTCCGCATTCATCCGCCGAAAGGCTTGAAATACGGGAGGCAGAAGGGGAAGCAGAGGAGGCGACGGCAAAGCACCACCACAGCCATGAGGGAGATCGTGCACATCCAGGCGGGTCAGTGTGGAAACCAAATTGGAACCAAGGTATGAAGGGGGGGAGAAGAGAAACCATCTGGTATTATAAGGCCAAGCGATCCATCCTAGGCAGCCGAGATAGGCAGGGGTGGGCGCGAGTGGGCGATGTCCGGCAATCCCCTAAGGACGACCGCGCCTTCCCTTCCCGTTCTTTTTCAGGTGTACGCCATGGCTTCGAAGCCGCCCCTTTCCTTCCTTCGCCTTTCATACCAAAAAAGGGGACAATGAACAAAAATAAATAAATAAATAAAGCGATGAGCAAAATTCCTCCTTGGGGAGATTTTTTGCGAGGAGAACATTCTTTAAAACTGCCGGCGAGCCTCCTGGGCGCCGAGAGCGCTGGAAAGAAAACCGCACCCACCCACACTCCAAACGGGAACTAACTGGAGCCCCCTTCTTTCGCCTTGACCATACAAGGCTTCGGAAAAAGCTGAAACCGGGAGGAAAAAAATGCTGAAGCGGCGGGGAAAGAGGGGCGGGGGAGGATAGAGCGATTGAAAGCGGGGGAAAAGGCTGAAGGTTCCAGTAGGAAGCGGGCAGAGGATCTTAAACCCGATTTCTTTTCCTTTTTGCAATTCTTCGGTCCCCTCCCCTCTCTCTCCCTCTCTCTCCCTCTCCCTCTTCCTCTCCCCCTCCCTCCCCCCCTCTCTCTCTCACACTCACACACACACACACACACATACACACACACACAGAGTCCGCCCCATGTTGTCCCTGCTGGGTTGTGGCGGGGAGGGGTTGGCCTCAACCATGCCTGGCATTCGGCAGCTGCTGGATCCGACACATGCCTTCGAGGCCGCCTCTGCCTGAGCCGCGGTGGGTGGGAGACAGGCAGGCGGCCGCGCAACGGACCCGGCGGGCTGCTTGAGAACAGCGCCGCCCTAAACCGTCCTTGTCCTCGCAGTTTTGGGAAGTGATCAGTGACGAGCACGGGATTGACCCGGCCGGAGGCTACGTTGGTGACTCAGCTTTGCAGCTGGAGAGGATCAGTGTCTACTACAATGAATCATCCGGTAAGTTGTACGCAGTTTCAGGCATCCCCGCCGTCTCTTTAGGGGAGGAGAAAAATGGGAAGAAAGCAGCCAAGTTGCTCAGGCGTTTCCTTTAGAAGAAATACTCCCTGAGCTGGCACACAAAGAGCAGCAGTTCCCCTGGCTTTAGTCTGCCCATTCCCAGGCATGGTGGGGAAATTCTGGGAACGTCCCAATGCACCTTTGTGTTTTAGAAACTGCTCCGTGAACTTCACCATACTTTTATTATCAAGCTGGCTTTTAAAAAAAATCATCTAGTAAAGAAGTTCATATTAGTGCAATATCTATAATAGTAACAGGAAGCAGTATTTAAGTGTGGCACCATCATGAGTGAATTGAGTTTAGTTATACCACTTCAGAATGGAAAGTGAGGTGTTGCTTATTATTTATAATCAATTGTGAAATGGTATTTTTGTCTTTTAAGCTCTGTTGCCCCATGTGTTTTGGGCCTTTTGATTCATAAGTACAACATACATATATAAATAATTTTAAAAATACATAGTTTCTTGCAGAAATAGGATTACTGGGGGAGACAGAAATGAAACATGGGACAAATACATTACAATTTTAATAATATGTGCTTTATTTGGCTCTCAATAGTACCTGTCATACATGTCAGCTTTCACCCTAATTCCCAATGTAAAAACAACATCTACTACTTGTGATGCTCCTTTACATTATTGAGCCATTCTTCTAAGAATGTTCCTAATTTATAGTGAAAAATCTGTTCCTTTGTCACTCCTTGAACTTCATTACATATGACCCTGAGACGGTCTTTGTGGTCACATCCTTGGACAAATGGTTGCTGATACTGCTGCCTCAAATTTTTGTCCTGCCATATTTACTCAACTCCCTTCTCAACTGTTGCTGAATGCAAGGGTTGAGTGCAAGCCTGATGAAGTAGCAGAAAGCGCATGCATTGGCTGGAAGAGGCTGGGTGCCAGGAGTCACCTGTCCTTGACTTAAATGGGGAAATTACTTAATGAGCTCTCAGTTCTCAGGAATGGGAAATTGCAGTTCCTCTTCCACTGAGTGAGAGACATTTGTGAATGTGGGTGCATGCATATTTACAAGTACAATATGTGTAGCTGACTTCTGACATACTGTCTTTTGCCTCCTACAGCATTGGGAGCAGTGGCGGATTAAGGCTCACTGGTGCCCTAAGCACTGACAAATCTTGGTGCCCCCTTCCTGTACAAATATTCATTGAGTTTTTTTTTCCTTTCTCAACTTTGTGGTGCCCCCTTGGGCCTGGTGCCCTAAGCATGTGTTTAGTCTGCTTAATAGTTAATGCACCACTGATGGGGGATGATGGTATAGAATAGTTGCCCTAAAGCTCTTTCTTAATTAGAGAAAAATTATGAGTGTGAAGTTTGGAAAATCTTAGTAACTAGCAGTGATTTACTAACATCAAGCCCTAATGTTTTCAGCTATTGTCCCAATCCAAAAGCATGAAATTCTGCCATTCTTTACAAGTGTGAGCATGTTAAGCTTGGTCCTAGATTAATTTCAGATAAGGTTGTAGTCTATTCTCCTCTCCCCTTCCCCCCCATCCCCAGGGCTCCTGACATTTCTGGCTGAAGGAAACCTCCACTAACTTTCCCCATCTGTTGAAGTATACAAGTTTCATTTGCTTATCCTTACTTTAGCTGATAGCATGATAGATAGGTGTTCTGACCCCCCTTGTCCGACACCAAAGCACGCAGTGCCAAAGATACTTTACAGAATTTATTAACAGAAAGACAGGTCTTTGGCAGCAAACCAGCACAGACAAGCCTTGGCAGCAATCCAGCACAGAGAAGCCTTGGCAGCAATCCAGCCTGCCAAGCTAACACTACAGTTCTCCAACATTAGTTAATGCATTGACTCCTGCAAAAGGGGCGTGTACACAAGCANGTTAAATCTAAGTTATGGAATGCAGTTCCCCATGAGTTAAATTTGGCTCCCTCTCCCTCTGTGTTTAGAAAATCTATATAGTCATTTCTCTTTTACCAGATTTATCATTATTAGATTATTTTAGCATTTTACTTTATAATTCATTTTAATCAGTATTTTAATTATTTCTATTGTGTTTTTGCTTTAACTTTTGCTAACCATCTTGCTTTAAAATATAGAGCATAATCTAATAAAACCTAGTCAGTTGCCATCTGACTTGCTATCTATCCATCCACTCATGTGCCTTACAATGGATCCTTCAAGATCTAAACATTTAATACACCATTTGAGTTTATAATAATTGCTGGGTGTACCTGAACTTAAGGGGAGCCATAACTAATAGTAGATCAGATGTTCAGAGACTAGCTTCTTCGGGGCAAGTTGGAAGAAATCCATCTGAAACTCAGCTACTGCAAGTTAATGGCTGAGTTCGCACATTGCACTAAGGCATGTCTTATTTAATCTTATAGAAGGAGTCACGGTGGACAGTGTGACATGGGATGTTAAGCAACAAAGCATGTTATAAATCACAATGACTAGCTTCACCATCATCCTAAAACAGAACCCAAAGAACCACACTTCAATAGGGTTCACACATTAATTAACTCATTGTCTAGTTTCTTTTGTTTTCACTTAGCATTCATCAATCTCAATACTAAATTAGATGGATTAATTAGTTGACTCAAGATGGCAAGATCCTGACACCAGCATGAATTCCCAGCAAATAGTTGGACCAGTTCCATCAAATCCCAGAAAAAAATGGAAAACAACCAATGCTAATGTTGGGTTTAAAAATGTGTAATATCCGATCAGAAAGTTTCTATTTCTGTAGAGAAATGTAGCCTTAAATCCAGATGCAAATATATGAACAACAAGAGATATGTATGGCAAACAACTTCACATAAACAAATTCTAGGCTCCCCACCACACTTCTTCAGTATCAAAATGAATGTTATCTTTCACTCTATTTAATTCTATAGAAGAACAAGTGGCATAAATAATTCATTTATTTTAAGGGACGTGGTAATGTTTTGGCAAAACATGTCCATGGCACAGTGAGTACAATTGTGCATTTGCTCTCTTTCCTCAAAGTTCTTAGTTCTCTGGTGCACTTGTCATATAATGCAATCCCAAATTCTGGGCACACTGTTTAACAAATGGACTTTGACACAGATTTTTTTTAATTTGTGGGTGGGCTGTAAGGGTGGGATAAAGAAAGGCTGTCCTGATCTCTTTACAGTCTCAGCATTCATGTGCTTTTAAAATATGGGATGTATGGTATTACAGCACACAGTTTTCATTTATGCATTAACAATTAGCTTCATTCCTTGAAAAAAGAGTTTTGAATAAATAAGATGCAAGAATGTGACAATTCAAAAAGTTCTTTGGGACCTTTTAACAGGCTCTTTTAGCTTGCTGCTGAAAGACACAGCTTTTGTCTTTTTGTCAAAATGGAGCAGTCTTGTTTGAGTCAGGAGATGCTGATTAGGGTGTGATTGCCACTTGTTTTTATATGGCCACATAATTGGAACTGTAAGGAATTAGGTGTATTGTCCCACTGTCCCATTTGAACAGTCAAAAATTTAAAGAGCAAGTGACACACAGATTTAAAGATTACGTCTCTCCAGTTTGGGGTTGAAATTATAACAAACTCTTGCTGGAATTATGGGACCTGACATCCTGTATCATAGCAATGGAAAGTTTCTTAAGTTATATAAGGTGTTGCAACAGAGGGAAATGATAATGAGAAATAATTTTATTATTAATAAACACATCTGACTGAAAGCCAAATGGAAAAATAATCAAGCAAAATGTGGACTCAGTCTCTTTTTCTGATTCTAAATATATACTTCAAAATATAGTCCCTCTATTCAACTAAGAGCCTTTTGTTGATCTAAAAAGAAAAAGCTAAGCAGAGATTCAAATGATAGTATGCTTGAAAGTTATATGGTGCTTTTCAGCGTCCTATTTTGTGGCAACTTTGCCATTCTCTGAATGCATAATAGCCAGTTTTAAAAAGGCAGAGCAATTGTATCAGCATATTTCATTTAGTAACAAATTCCTGTTGTAATTTCATTGGCTCCAGTCTATTATTTTTACAATGAAAGTATGTATCCCTTTCAAAATTAATATTTGTTTTGACATCAAACCTTTTGATTCCATCCTCCAGTTAAAACAAGGATGATAGATTGTAAAGAGTAGATTTTTCCGCAATAAAGGTTGGAAGTCATACATTGCTTGACTGCAGGAAACCCATCCCTGCTGTCCATGCAGATGATCAATATGGAAAAAAATAACTTCAGACACACAGCTCCTTTATCCCAACGATTAAAGGCATGGAGGTTGAGAGGTATGCCATGCACTTATCCTAAGCATGGAGTAGGAGTAGCCTACACAACCTAGTACAGGTAGTCCTCGACTTATCACCACAATTGAGACCAGAATTTCTGTTGTTAAGCAAGGCAGTAAAGTGAGTCATACCCAATTTTACAATCTGTTTGCCATGGGTGTTAAGCAAGTGTAGGGTCCCCCACTGACTTAACTTGTAGGAAGCTACCTGGGAAGGTTGCAAGTGACAATCACATGACCCCAAGTTGTTGCAACTGTCAAATGTATGTCAATTGCCTGAATTTTGATCACATGACAGTTTTAGGTGTGAGTAATGGTTGTAAGTCACTTTTCCCAGGGCTGTAGTAACTTTGAATAATCACTACATGAATGGTTGCAAGTCAAGGAATCCTTGTGTGGTAGTTCCTCTCAATCAGAGAATAATGCCCCTGCTTGCACTCTTGCTCCAAAATAACTGGGAAATATTGACCTTGGCTCAGTTGTGATGAAGCTGTGTAATGATGATCTAATCCTTTTCAAATCACACCGCAGGGGCTGGGTGGAAGCACAAGCATACTCATCACTTTGTTGTTCCCAGAGCAACATTATTCCACCTGTTCCTTCCAGCTTTGAGTCACAACTCTGCTAGGCAAATGCAAAATTGTTCCTTCTGGCTCCCATCTCAATTCTGTGCTGGAAAACTCCTCCCTAGCAGGTGGCCGTGACTGAGATTCCGGATGCTTGGAATAATCAATTGCCCTGTAGTGTTCACTGCATTTAAGACCAAGCCAAAAGGAATGATCTCCTTTTGTGTGGCTGCATTTGCTAACCAATTTACAAAGGCAAACCAAGGTTGGACCTCTTTCCCCCCACATTCCTGTAGGAGTAATCTGCTGGAAGCAATATGGCAATAAATTCATTGGTAGATATGGCCAGAGCCTAAAGTTGGCATAACTCCTAATTTTCTAGCACTCATTTCCCTCCTGTTCACTTTGTAGCCAGCTGTTCCAAATGGGTCAGATTTCTCCTGTCCAAGAACTTAAAGGATCACTTGCAAAGTATCTGCAAAATAAGCCTGGGAATCATGTATGGCAACAAGACTCCAGTGGTAAATCAGCATTGGCACAAACTTTACAAAGTACAAACTTCTGCGGCACCTTTTCCATTTTTCAATTCACTGGAAGCAACACTTACTGTAGGGCAAGGGTGAAATCCTCCCAGTTCAGCTCGGTTCAGCTGTACCGGTAGGAATGATTATCCCTGGTTCTGGGAACCGGTAGTAAAAAAAAGNCTCGGAGTCGGAACCCTGTCAGGGTCCTCCAAAACGGATTCATAGGGCCCCTCACTGTCGGAGTCTGGTGGCAGCTCCAACGGCTCCTGCTGGGCCACAACCGATAGGTAAACAAAAGAAGCTCTAATTGCTGTTGGCCATGTTTATAACTGATAACCGATACTGGTTATTCTGATCCACTATACTAGCATGGCATACTAACATGAGGCTAATAACAAAGCTATCATTCTCATCCAGATATGGCCAAGGACATGCCTTTGGGAAGCCAAAATCTGAATACAATAGTTGTAATGGTATGTGGAAAAGAGTATGATGATCTGAAACTAAGTAACTCACTCACAAGGACACTCCTGCAGGTGTTGGCCAAGACAGAGACTTCTCAAAACAAAAGAACAATTCATAATTGGACAATGTGTTCCATCAGAAGTGGGGAGATATCTATATTTTAATATGTGGACTTGCGTGTGAAGCATTAGAGTTGGTTTAGCATTCTTCAGTTCTGAAATCATGTACTCAATAAAGTTTTGCTTTGGGGATTTTGAAGTTCCTGGAAGTGTCTGCTTTTGTTGGGTTCGTTAGTTAAGACTGTTGACATTGGGACTGTAAAGGCTTGAAATTCTGGTTTTATAAACTGCACCAACTTGGCATTTATATCCATAAATGCTCACTAGATATGGCACCTAAAGGATGGATGTGGGAGTGAATTTTATAGATTTTAAAAATGGTATGGCATACGTGCTTTGGCTGAACTTAAGCAAAAACCTTCTTGCTTAAGGACAATTTCAATAAAGGAGAATAAGATGTTTTCCCAAAGGTAAAGAAATTGATCCCTCTTTTTGAGATCAAATAAAAATTAGATGGTGTGGCAAATATTCATTTCATTTCATTTTATTTGTCTTGTATGCCGCCCACTCCCGGAGGACTCCGGGCGGCTCACAATAGACAAGGGAAAGGGGATAAATAGACATAGAATATTCTATATTCTATTCTATATTTTTCTTTTCTATCCCATCCCATCCCATCCC